GTTGTGATCCATACTGTCAAAAGCCTCTGCGTAGTCAATGAAGCACAGATAGACATTCTTCTGGTATTCTCTGCTTTCTGCCAAGATCCATCTAACATTAACTATAATATCCCTAGTAACATGAACTCTTCTAAATTCAGCCTGCACATCTGGCAGTTCTCTGTTGACGTATTGTTCCAAACGTTTTTGGATAATTTTCAGCATAATCTTGCTTGCATGTAATATCAATGATATTGTTCGATAATTTTCACGCTCTGTTAAATCAGGGAGGAGTAGCAGCATGTGAGTATGCTGTTACTGTTGTTAGCTATAAACATGTCAACTGCAACTCTAGCAACCCTGTGAAAAACAGATCTAAACCTTGCCATATCTATGCCATCCTCACTATCTCTAATACACTTGAACCCGTTGTTATAGTCACTGTGTCAATCTATCTTGTTGATGGTCTTCCTCTCCTTCACTGACCCTCCACCTTTCCGAGCACGACATCTTTTTCCAAAGAAAAATGATATAGTATGAGTATATGAAGGCAAAATACCACCAACAAGGAAAATGGCAGGTTCTAGCTCTTACAGAAGTCCCTAAGTGGTAAAAAACAGTTAGTACACTTAGCTGCCAACCAAAAGGTTGGAGGTTCAAATCCACCTGAAGACATCAGAATAAAGACTTGATGAAAAATCTCTGAAAATTCTGGCATTGACATGGGAGGCTACCTTGAGTCATAGTCAATGAGAAGTTAAACAGATCTTTACTACCTTAAATATAAAATGAATTGCTGATAGGTAAATATTTTATTGCGGAAAACATCTCTTACTCAGAATGAAAGTACTATTGTTGTTGAAAGTATGGTTGTTGTTGATTGCCATGGAATTGAGCACGACTTATAGTAACCCCACAAACAAAAGGCCTAAGGCCCTTCCACAACCATGCCATTTATCAAAGATCACAGAGTTTCCAGAGGCATGCTGTTTAGGAGGGGGATGCCACTCCTGCTTCCAAACCTGTCTTAAACTGGGAACTCCACCAAACACTGTCCACCGTGAGTAACCATTAGGGCATTTGACATCCCAATGGCACTAGGTTCAGCATCATAGCAACCCCAGGTTACCTCAGTACAGCATATTGACAGAAGAGTGTTATACCACTTAGAAGAATGTTCCTCCAAAATACAAAGGCCTTCCCTGAGGTCTTGTTGATTCTAAACTTGAGGCTTAAATAGAAAACAAACAATATAGTGTGTTTTTGTTGTTATGTGTCATTGATTGTTGATTTCCTGAGTGAAATTTAGAGCCCTGGTGACACAGTACATAATGCATTGGGCTATTAGCAGAAAAATTAGCAGTTCAAATCCTCGAGCTACTCCTTGGGAAAGATTAACCATTTACTCCTATAAAGGTTTACATACAGTCTTCGAAGCCTGATAGAGAGTTGCAATAAGTCAGAATTGACTCCACAACAGGTAGTTAGATATAAGAGGGGGATAAGAAAAGAAAGGAAGGAAGAGCAAATATAAAGAAATCAAGTAAGTGAAAGCCTTCACATGGAGGTGGTATCACTGCACACCAGGCCATCTGAGCAGTCATGAGACTGGGATTATTTCTTGTTTTGTTATCAGAGAACAGAAACTTTACTCTGGTGGAGTCACTCCTTTAGACTTCTGATTAAAAACTAAACAGAAACAAAACACAGCTCCCAAGTCTCATGCATTCTGTGAAGTGTTACCTTTCTCCATATGGGACTCATTAAGGCAAACATCTGATGTTTGCGGTTGGGCTGCAATTTCTCCACAGCCTATAATGGTGACCAAATCTGGGGAAAATAAAAAAATTTCCCTGTGTAGCAATTTTAGGATTTTGTCAATGCCCTCGGAGCAAAGAGAAGCCAGTCCTGGGCCAAGACAGCATCAATAACACTTCCCCTGGGGCTAGAAACAGAAGATAGCTAATGCTGATACCAAATAAGGCCCACAAGGAAAGCTGGTGCACTCTGGCTGCATTAATGATGACTGGCCACAGCCTTTGTCCAAAAAAACAAAAAGCAAACAACCTCAGATGTTGTTTGGTTTTTACCTAATCAGAGTAGTCTTTTAGGGCTGGTCTTCAGAAACTGGAAACTAAAGACCTAACATTATGTACATATACATCAGCCACTGTGGAAACTGACTTAATGGGATGATCAAGATATTTCTAAGTTGCAAAAGTAACCCTGGTGCCACAATGGTTAAACATTTGGCTGCTAACTGGAAGGCTACAGGTTCAAATCCACCAGTGATTGCAAGGAGAAAAGACCTGGTGACCCATTCTTGCAAAGACTGTTGTTGTTATGTGCCATCAAGTCACCTGTGGCTTATGGTGACCCTAGGTTACAATAGCTCTGAAGCCTGCCCTGTCCTAAGCCAGTCTCATTGACTTCCAAACACCTACCCACATTGCCCTAGTCACTTCATCTATCCATCTCATCCAGAGTATTCCTTTCCTGCACTGTCCCTCTACCCTTCCAAATATGATATCCTTCCCCAAGGACCTGTTCCTTTTGGCCACGTGCCCAAAGTATGTAAAATGGAGCTTCAAAATCCTAGCCTCCAAGGAGACACTTGGTTTCACCCTCTCCAAGACATATCTATTTGTTTTCTTGGTGGTCCATGGTATGTTCAAGATTCTTCTCCAGTAAATACCACATCTCAAAGGCATCAATTCTTCTTTTATCCTCCTTCTTCATTATCCAGTTCTCTGATGTATAGTAAGTAATTGCAAAGACCATGGACTGTATCAGGTATACCTTAGTCTTTTAACTGACATCATTGCTTCTCATTACTCTGAAAAGTTCCCTGACAGCAGATATACATATACCTAATGCAATTTGTCTTTTCATTTCCTGACTGCTGATGCTAAGCATTGATTTTGGAGCTGAGCAAGCTGTCACTGTTAATAACCTCAATCTCTTCTCCCTAAATCATGGTGCTGTTCATTGGCCCTGTGATGAAAATCTTTGTCTTCTTGCTGTTGAGCTTCAAACCATGTTGCAGACTACAGTCCTTGACCTTCTGCAGCAAGTTCTTCAGTTCTTCAGTTTCCTCCAATCCTCAGGGTACATTCCTCCTCATAAAACCCAGCCTCCCGAATGATCTGTTCTGTATATATTGAAAAGGTATGGAGACAGGACACATCCCTGACACTCTCCCTTCCTGAATTTGAAGGCTCAAAATTCTATGGTGTCATTTGGAGGCAAAAACAATGGATGGGTCTAAGTTACACAGTGTTAGTTTAATGTTATTTAACACACATTTATAGAAAACCTACTGTGTGCCAGACAAACCCTTTGCTTGCCCTGGTCAATTTAGGAAGACATGAGTAAGTCTAAGAGGTAATTTTTTTTTTACTCAAAAACTCTCATTACTATATAGTCAGAACTGAACCATATAGCTGATCCTTTGGCGGAATTTCCGAGGTTTGTAAATGGCATGAGAGGAGATTGGCGACCTTTGTCCCACGGAGTCACTGGTGGATTTGAACTGCCAGAGAGGCACCATGTTTAGCTCAGCAGCACAACTCCCTCCTCACAAGGCCACTACAGAGCAGTCTGTGGACCATTATTGTGGTGGTTTTATTGTTGTTGTTGTTGTTGTTGTTGTTGTTGTTATTGGGTGCCATCCAGTCAGAACTGACTCACAGCTGACCCCCAATGGGTTTTCAGAGGCAGTAAATCACAACTTACTGTCTTGCTTAAAAAAAAAAAAGATTAGGAAATCATCTCCAAAACCAGAAATGAGGCTAGAAATAAGGATGACAATGAGGAGATTGCTGGTGATGGTACCAACACTATGAACAACTAGAATGTGCCAAGCAAATCAGGAACACATCCTGAGCCAGTTCTGACATCGTAAGTAAATGAACACTCTAGCCAAACTCCCTGGGTTTGAATTCCACTTCAAGCTCTGTGACTTTGGGAGGAGATTGTTCATCTTTCTTCCTCAGAGCAGCTTGTGGATTCAAACCGTATG